AAAAGGGCAGTATACAGTGACTTTAAATGAGAGTAAGAGTTTGTGATGGTTTCAGCGCATTAATTTACTCATTTAATATACACACAAAGAGCTTGCCCCCATAATCAGGTTTCTTCAAGCACACTCAGCTCTACAGGGACACTGAGAGGTGACAGAATTTTTAAAAAGAACAAAAAGGTAAGATGGTAGCTCGAGAGCATCAGCATTCAAAAACAACAATCCAGCAGCAGGAAATGAATTGCTTTAGTTTTTTCTTTACTGTAAACTTGTTTTCATGACTATTGAAAGTCTGCAGCCACGAGGGTAACTCTGGCAGCGTTCCATTAACACTACTCACTGCAACGGCCTTCAGCGACTGCACAATTATCCAATGAATGTCATCGAACAGTTTGCTAGTGACCTCCTTTCCACGAGTACTCTCTAGATACAAGCGCAAGTTACTCACTGTCCATTTGCCTCCATGGATATGATTGTAGTCATCCTATAGAGTTAAGGAGTTAATTCAGTCTCATGGAGTTTGCAATTATTTAGCAGTTGTATTCTCATCCGTACAAACTTACACTTGTTTCTAAGCACAAGTTTATTTTTTAAAACTATTTTTACTGTATGACATTTTGCAGGATATGTAAGGCCCCAATTTTTACTTTGCACAGCCTTCTATGTAACCCAGAATACATTTTAAATCACCTACATCTAATTACATAGCAAATCATGAAAACAAGTGTTAGAACTTGTCTTGTGGTAATTACAATATCATAAGAACAATAATTAAACAGAAGCTGCATTTTGACAGTCTTAACGATGTAAGAGAGGACACAGGAAATGCAGTTTAGGATTGGAATGATTGGGAAATCAGATTTTCAAGACTGAAAGGAAAGGGTTAGGTTTGGGGAGAGGGTTGTTTCATTGGAGAGGAGGACTAGAAGAGTGGTTAATTTAACAATGGTTAAACCACTGTTAAGTTAACCTTTTAAAAAATGTAGCACTGACAGCAAGTTTGAAAGTCTCTGAAACACATGAAATATGACCAGTCATTTCTATTGTGAGTAGTCAGTCTTTTCCCCAGCAGGAAAAAAATTTGATCTAATAGTCAGCACTCACTGGGAGACACCAGCACCAGTCTCAGTCATGAACATACAGAAACAATGACAGCAATGTTCTTCAACACTGTATTTATCAAAATTATGAATTAAAAATAATTTTAAAGTATATCTGG